TTCAAGTCCCTGATTCCTACCCCTATGCAGCGACCTTGAAACCAATTAATCAGCCGTTGAATGTGCGTCAGACTCGGCGATTGTGCCGGACGATGGGCGATCGCGCGGCACAGTCGCCGAGCCTAACAGACATCTTGACATGGAAGGCTTAGCATGGGCGAGTTCGGAACTCAAGAGTCGAGAAACTCTTATGGTTAGCGCGAACAAGGGTCAACTTGTCAGATGTTCTACCGAGGATCCACTCGAAGGAGACTGAAAAGTCTGGCGATTCGACGGGTGGTCGCTTAGCACGGAAGCTGGGTGTTCCCGCGTACGACAGCTCATCTCCAAGCCCAACCGACGAATTTGACGAGCAACTGGAAGACAAAGGAATGTTGGCAGTAACGGAAGAGGTTGAACTGGATTCCCAGAAAAATTCCCTCAAAGTGAGGTAGTGGGACTTCTAATTACAGGGAAGACAACACTGTCGCTGGCAGTGCGCGAAAAGGGAGACCCCACGTTCAACGCTGCCATCTTTATCAACGCAGCACTTGTGGCGTCTGCGCCCTCTTCGTATAGCGTGCTCCCTCGCGTTTTTTCTTTTCTCGCAGCACTGTCTCCGTCAAACCACGGTCGACCACAGGAGAGAAATTTCAGTGTTTTCTGATGCCCTTTTTTTACTTCTTTTCCCACTAACGTTTCTCTTCGTAATTCTTGCCCAATTCAAATAAAATAACAACCGATTCGATCGTGACTCGTGCCTTTGAGCGCTACAGCTCAACAAATATTAAAATCTTTATTGACCCAACATAAGCTCCTTTTTCAACAGAAACATTCAGCAGGAGACAGGAATGCATTGGCATCACCGGAAAGACAATGGTATCACCGAATATATCACTCTACAAAAATAATAAAATAATCTTAAATAAATCCACTTAACAATGTGATAACAAATCCATAACCGAGCAACAGTTGTGGTGATTATGCTTAGTAAAGATAACGTTCTAGAAATCTGTTCCGAGAAAAAAAAACACATTTCATGAGAACTACGAAAAGAATGTGTCAAGCTAGTGAACAGGTGGATTTGAGCTGAAAAAAAAATGTTCTATGCGTTATCACTGCGAAAGAAGAGTCCTCGAAAGAGACAATGTGAGACTCAAGAGACAGTAACTCCACCTATGTCTGCGTCGACCTGTTCTCCATGCTCTCACTCCCTCGTCGTCAGACTTTCTCTCACTCGGGCACGTACTCTACTCCGAAGGATTGTGAACAATGTACAAACAATCCTTCTACTAGCTTCTACCTTATCACTTTACAATAAAAAATATAAAGGGCTGCAACGGTGGACAACAGCATGGACGAGTACAAAACCTCCACATCGCGAAATCGCCGCGCACGCGACGAGTGCGATCGCCGCGTGCGAGGCGAGCTGACCCCAGGAGGAGAAACGCTACGCAACCCTACCGTATCTCAAGGCTGTTGCATGTGTGTATGTCCATCTGTCTCTACGCACCCCTACTATGAAACCCTCAGGGCTGTTGCGTGTGTGTATGTCCACCTGTATGTCTAACTACTGACCGGGACTTAAAGGCAGCGAATTACGATGAAGAGGGAGCGCATCGGGGAAGCATATGCATGAAGCAATTACTTGGCTGCCAAAGGAAGCGAAGTGTAGCGCTTTCACAACGAAAGGTGCGCTGGTTGCTGAGCAGGACTTCGAAAGCACTCCGCCCGCCCACCAGTTTACTTGTTGATTTGGACGAGCTGCGTGGCCAGCAGCGGCGCAAATGGAGCATCTCGATTAAAGCGTGATTTGGCATGGTGCCATCAAACGCGTTGCGGTGAACTCGTTCATACTCCACTTTCTGAGCTGTTACCTGTTCATGAGTGAAAACCAACGGCCAAAAAAGAGGTCCCATTGGTCGCATTTCTCGAACGGATTTTCCGCTTCCCCAACTGCGTACCTCTAACACCGACCACTTTTACAAAAAAGCCATTCTTGAACTTTCGTAATGTCTGATTTCCTGAGTGTTTCTCATCAGCGTAAATGCGCTCAAACTTGGAAACAGTGAGAATGCGTTTTGGCTTGTGGCCGTGGGAATGGCGCGATTTTGTAGGCGCATCACCTAATGACCGCGAATTTTGAGCTGTAAATGCGCAGAATTTTATGCGATAAAATGTTCCGATTATTGATCAATGCATTCAACTTATCGGGAGTTACAGAAACTGAAGTTCAACAAAATGACGTGGTATGGCTACAAGAAGGCAAATTTTACGTACTTTCGCTTTAAAGGAAAGGATAAAGCATCCGCCGATGATCGTAATAACTTCGTTGGTGCACCGCATTTGAACTTCCATTTGTAAGTTTTTAGTGGCGTTGAGCGATGTGGTCTTAATATTAGGTTGTCTCATAAACAGTGTCGCTTTTTTTCATCCAAAAAATTTTCATCTAAACCTCCATGCTTTTACATCGTGTTGTGTACCATTCGAAAGAGAATTGTCTGCTCTACAAAATGCTATGTCCCACTTCCACATTTCTTCCAGGGTTTTCAAATTTTGGGCCTGTGAAATGGGAGGTCCGGCCGACAAAAAATGGCCAAACCGACAACTATCTCTAACATTATCTTTCCTTGGGAGAAATCAATCTATGATGTACCTTCTACTTATGCATGACCTCTTCTAATCATTACACTACTAGGTTTTCCTACAAATCGCGTCGTTCAATTTCCAGAGCTGGTTTTTCAACCAGAACTCGACGATCGAGCACCATTACCTGTGATCTAGGTCGAAATTTTTTTATGGCCGAGACGTTGAAGAACTGGTTGAATTTGAAGAACAAGTCATGACTAAGTTAGGAATGTACGACTGGTTGATTTTCTCATTTTCTAAGGGATAATTTTTTTCAAAGAAATGTGGTCACTTTCGCGGTAAAGCACCTTATACCGAAACATCTAAAATTCGAACTAATTCCCAACAAACAGAGAAACAAAACAAATGAGCGAGTAGAGCAGAAGAAGTGCTCGTAAAAGGAACACCACTCGATATGAAACAATGACGTTTACGAGGAACAATTTTAATTTGAAAATTGCTATGGCTTATCCGTCAGCCAATTCGAAAAGAAAAACGGCAAAGCTTTTTCGGCAACCTAAGAGTGGAATGTTTAGAAGAGGTCATGGGTAAGTATAGGGTATATCACTGGTTGATTTCTCCCCAGGGAAAATAAAGTTACAGCCAGTTGTCGGTTTGGTCAATTTTTGCCGGCGAGACCTCCCATTTTGCTGGCCTGAAATTCGAAAACTCTGAAATAGCGGTGGAAGCGGAACACAGCATTTTGTAGAGCAGACAATTCTCTTTCGAATGATATATAAAACGATGTAAAAGTTTCATGATTTAGATGAAAATTTTTTGGTTGAAAAAAAACGACATCACTTATGAGACAACCTAATAATATAATACCAGTTTAGCTCCGCCCGCTACCGCGCGCATGACACGGAAGCCTCTGACAAAACTGACAATCGGTGAAGCTTTGGGTTTCACCGCTTAACTATAGCTGCTTCGTTAAATGCATTACTGTCCGTTGCCCATCTTGGCTGTATCTCACTGTTTGATAAGCGCAGTGAAGTGCACAGCTAAAGTGTATGTAAACAACCACCATGCATCGAGAATCGAGGAAATTTAGCGGTCGAATAATTTTTGGTAATCTCAAGAACGGAATGCCCAGTATTCACTATCAAATTTATTAGAGCATCCCATTCATCCTCAAGAACTCTAGAAGGTGTAGCGGTTGAAAGGTGTTTGAATTTACAATTATAACGCTAATGAAATGATATTGAAATGAAATGCATTATCTGCAATCTGGTTTCGAGTAATCTCTACGTTCGTACGCATATCGTAATTATCAGTCCTCATCTGTCGTTATCACTTTTTGACCCCCACAAAATATGTTACCGTCCCCCCCCATATCATGTCCCAAAATCAGTTCCTGACGACTGCTGCGAAGCGCACTATGAATTTCGTGAAATTGTGTTTCAGCGCCTCTTATCTGCTCATTATCAGTCGTTATCACTTTGTGACCCCACCAAATATGTTCCCGTCCCACCCCCTATATCATATCTTGAAACCAACTCCTGACGACCACTGGTGCCCGAGCTATGAATTTCGCGACACTTGCGTTCTAGCGCCTTTTATCAGCCCTTATCAGTTGTTATCACTTTCTTCCCCCACCAAATATGTTCCCGTCCCACCCCCTATATCATATCTTGAAACCAACTCCTGACGACCACTGGTGCCCGAGCTATGAATTTCCGGTCAGACAGACAAACACATACACACACACACACAACCGCTTAGCCGATTATATATAGTAGGACAATGACTTTCGGGGGCCAGCCGATGTACAAGTCAGTGTTTTTATCCTCCCAGACAAGTCTGGTACCAATTAACCGACCCCGGAGGGATGGAAGGCTTGGTTGGCCCGGGCGACTCACGACCCAGGATTCGATCCCCGGACGTGGTAAGCGTGCCACTTGCCACTACACCACTTTTCCACTTTCGCTTTAGCGGTCCCAAAATTATTCTAATAGTGGTAATTTAAATGTAAACATATATCTTGCCACTCGACCAGGTTTCCATACACTTCTATTACACTTTTTTCATCTACATATAGTTGCCACAATGTCCGACATGGCGACAAAAGGCGGACATAGTTGTTACCGTCCGTTGCGCCTACGTGCGATGTCCATCCGGTTTTGACCCATACCACGTACGAGGCCATGATGGCGACCCTGCCACCACATTACTTCCGCTCAGTCCCTTCCATGGGATTGGAGCGCCACCATTGCGTCGCAGTTGGAGCAACTATCCTCAAAGACCAACAGCAAGAGATTAGAAGTGAAACGAGTTCTAAATATGAGCGAAAACTCAGAAAGGGTGAGGTAAGCAGTAGAAAGAACACCGGCATCAAAGGGTAATCACATTAAGAAAAACTATCACATAGCAGAGAAAGTCATCAGAAACTACTTCTACTGAAGCAACGGTCTGTTAGTACTTGGGCTCAATTCAACCATCTGCAGATCTCTACTTGCATTTTCTTTTGTTGGCAATTCTTCTGGAAGTGGTCGACCTTTCGTCTCTGGTATGCATACAGCCACCACAACAAGTTGCCCACTGAGAAATACAGCAAACACCAGATACGGTATCAAATAGTGTACTGTACGTAAATGCACAACCTGAAACAAGCTAAATTTCATTGAGATCGCTGGAAAAACACAGAGCAAATCAGCCGTGTGACAGCAAGTGTTGCTCTGAAATGAAGCAGTTTGTATGTCAGGTGTGAATAGGCGTGACAGGAACGCAACCGCGCGCATCTGCCCCAGTTTTCCTCTTGCATCGATAGCTTCGAAGCTAATATTCCCACTAGCCTCCCACAGATTCAGAAAAGAGCTCAATTTCGGAAAGATAGGTAATATAATCTTTAAGTGTTTAGCAGGATGAAAGGTAGTGAAAGATGACAAAGAAAAAGAAAGAAAATAATGGCAAAGAAAGGAGAAAGATCTAGATAGATAGATGAAGATAAAGATAGAAGAGACTCACCAATGGAGCGAGAACTGAGCCTAGTCGTGCGCCTACATTACAAATAGCTCGGGCCATATTTCTGACAACAGTGGGGAACAGCTCAGCCGAATACAGATGATTGATTTTCCATGCGGGGTCTAAAGCCGCTGAGACGATCAGCGACAAAGCAACTAGCGACCAATGACCCGCAGATGCACCAGACAATTGACTTAAATAATAAACAACAATAATAAACACTTAGCAAGAAGAAAAGTGTGATCCTAATCACTCACCTTATTACCGCTAACCATGCACAAATACAAGCTACTCCTACTGAAATAGAAACAATAGGTCGTCGACCGACAAACGACGACACAGCAAATGGTATGAGGCCTTAAAAACTGGATCTTGGGAGGCAGACTGATGTGGAAAAAATAGAGAAAAATAAAAAAAATTCAACTAACCCATCACAAATTTCGAAATACCCATAATAGCCAAGTTCACATAACGATTCCCCGGTAGAGCATCTGCATTGAAATAAAATCTAAAAAACAACACTGGTATGAAACGTTAGCCGTAGATCTTTGAAATGCACTGGGATAGACCACACAGCAAAGAGGAAAATGTTTGTTTTAGACGTGGGGAGGGTCGTATAAAGGAATGGTTATTGTGTTTTGTAGGAGATTGAACAGAAATTTTCCGGAATATGGTGAAAGTCTCCTTCAGCCCCCCCCCCCTTTGCTCTCTCATCTCGGTTGAAGGCAAATTTTACCATGATAAGGCAACTCATTAAAAAAGAGAGTGGAGGTGGTCAGTGGTGCAGCGATGAAGAAAAACATGGGAATCGGCCCAGAACACCAGAAATTGGACCACCTTATTTGCCTGTTGATTTCCACATTTATGGGTCCACCTGTCTTCCAACTAAGCAAGTTTCCCCTTCTTCGACCTCCGACTTTATGGTTAAAGCCTCCTTAAAGGGACAGTACCTTAAAGGAATCTTCCACGGAAAGAGTGATCATTTTGTCTTGTGTGTAGGATTAGTATTATCGAAACTAACGCTTATGTTCCGTTCTTTTTGCTATGCTCATGAGGCTAGGGGCCTAAGGGGTATCGTTTTTCTGTGGTAATGGAGGCGGAGCTTTTTCCGCGGAAGATTCCTTTAGGTGGGGTTTTGGAGGGCTGGTAACTTGTCTAGCGAATTAACACAATTAGAGCGCTCAATAGATAGGAACGATCTGTGCTACTGTTTACTACTAATTCGCAGTAGAGTTTAGTGTTTTTTATTTTTTTTATAAGTTCATTGTTTTATTATTGTTGTTTGCTGTTCTGGACAGATAGCGAAAACTTGAACAATCCCATGCGCTACTATTCATAAGATTTTATGTGGTACACTAACGATAAGACACAAGGAGGACCTCCGATTGTGTCAGACGGAGATCCCGATGGGAAGTAACGGAAAGGGGGAGGAGTTGGAGGAAGGATTCGTGCTGGTGAAATTTGTTCAATGCAGTTTTAATAGTCATCTCCGAAACGACCTTCAGTACACGAGTACTTTCAACGTGACGCGTCCATTGGCGTCTCTACAGCGGAGATTGTTCAAAATGAAATAAATGTCGAGTCTACGTGAGACTCCTATCCGAATAGACTGGCATGTATAGCGTTTATTATCACTTGATGCCAGCTATCGGCAAGCCTCATAGCAAAGCGGTGTGGGTCAAACTGCTCCACTTGAATTCCGACATCAAAAAATGACAAAAAAAAAGTGTAAACAAACCCGAATGATACCACTGAAGACGAGACGAAACAGTAACACAATGCAAAAAGTGGAACGTACACTGAAGAATGTCTGAAAAATACTCAAAATAAATGAGGCTCGGTCTTTCAAAAATCCTTTTTCTAAGCACAGACCACAGCTTTCAACTATCATTCTACTGGACATAAGACCACAAAGTTGATGCGAGGTTGTGCTCCGAAACCCAGTCGCCGAGTGTTGAGGATCAAACATTCAGCAAAGGGTGCAGGGTTTATATACAGTTTTCGAGAGTGACATCTGGTGAAATGGGTGATATTGTAATTCGGGATAGAATGGAAAAAATTGCTCTCTCCGAAGATAGGAAATGTTGGCATGGATATTTCGAGAAGTTTGGAAATTCGCCAATTATATGAACCTTTATCGAGACATTACTACTGACTTGGTCAACATATCTTCGGAAAAGAAGGAAGCTTAATCGCAGAAGATTAAAGGATCTTACATACTATAAAGCGCTTCGTCTGTCGTTCTGTCCCTCTGTCGTTCTGTCCCTCTGTCGTTCTGTATGTCTGTCACGAAATTCCCTAGCTCCTCGGGATCCGCCTGGAGGGACCGGGTCAAGTGTGGGATGGGTGGGCAGGGTCTCACGTAATACAAAACACACATCAGCTAAGCGGAGCCCCGCCCACAGAGGGCGTGGCGTGCGTCGAAATGAATTGTACCAAAGACCAAGATTTCGATTTCAGTGAAAAACGACCTCGAAACTGGGCCAAAAAGTGGGCTAAGGTGTGCATTGGTAAGTAACATCGAATTAGGGAGACCCACCCCCGGTGGGCGGGGCGTTCTCTAAAAAAGCAGTGCTTTATGAAAAATTTCATAACTCGGTTGGGAGAAAGCCTACAGAGCAGAAAACAATTCGGTGTAAGGGAGCAATGTCTAAGGTGTTTCCCGCATACATGACGTGGGCGGAGGCCTGCCCAGAATGGGCGGGGCGCGCTCTGAAGTGTACAGCATTTTCTACAAGCCCTCATAATTCGGGTCGGGGAAGTCCTAAAGAGCCGGAAAAAGGTGGATAGAGGTGTATGGAGGAGTGGAGGCCAGCTATCAATGGTGGGCGGGGCTTGACCAAAGTGGGCGGAGTTTGCGACGAAAATTTATAACTCGGCTCCATGAAGCTCCGGAGGCTGGGGAAAAGGTGGATAGAGGTGGGTGGAGGAGTGGAGGTTAATTGTCATTGGTGGGCGGGGCCTGACCAAAGTGGGCGGAGTTTGCGACGAAAATATAAAACTCGGCTCCAAGAAGTCCCGGAGGCTGGGGAAAAAGGTGGATGGAGGTGGGTGGGGGAAGTGGAGGCCAGCTGTCATCGGTGGGCGGAGCTTGACCAAAGTGGGTGGAGTTTGCGACGAAAATTCAGAACTCTGTTCCAGAAGGTCCCGGAGAGTGGGGAAAAAAGAAGATATAGTTGGGTGGGAAAGTGGAGGTCAAAGGCCAGTGGTAGGCGGGGCTTGGCCAAAGTGGGCGGAGTTTGCGACGAAAATTCATGACTTGGCTCCAAGAAGTCCCTGAGGCCGCGGAAAAGGTGGATGGAGTGGAGGAGGAGCAGCTGTCAATGGTGGGAGGGACATGACCAAAGTGGGCGGAGTTTGCGACGAAAATTCATAACTCGGCCCCAAGAAGTCCAGGGAGGCTGGGAAAAAGGGAGTAGAGGTCGGCGAAGGAAAGGAGGTCAAATGCTATTAGTGGGTAGAGCACGCACCCAAGTGGGCGGAGTTTGCCAAAAGTATCGCAATTCGGTTGCAAGAGGTCCTAGAGATAGGGGAAAACGGGGTTAGAGGTTGGTGAGGGAAAAGAGCTCAACTGCTATCACTGGGTAGAGCACGCACCTAAGTGGGCGGAGTTTGCCAAAAGTGTCGTAATTTGGTTCCAAGAGGTCCCAGAGACCGGTGAAAAAGGGGGTAGAGGTCGGCGAAAAGAAGGGAGCCAAATGCTATTGGTCGGCAGGGCACGCACCGAAGTAGACGGAGTTCGCCACGAGATTTATTGTCCGGGCCGAGGACCGAGAAAAATAGGATAATGGTTGACGAAGAAAGAGCGCATAGAATTTAGCGGAGAATTCAGATATTCGTATTGTATCAAGCCAAATTTGAAATTTTTCGTCGCACCATCAAAATTCGCCACAGATCTGTGTTGCGCGCGCAATGCGTGCGGCGCCAACTGGTATAATAAATTATAATCAAGATAAATACAAAACGCCTCGGGGATCCTATGATTCTCCCTCAAGAGAAACAAGTATCCTACAAATTTTCTTTGTCTTCTCAACCACAATCGCCATAAAAAAGGACCTCATTATAAACTTTATTTGCGCATGTATTATAGAAGCCGAAATATGATGCAGGTAACCGAGAAATTTTGAAAGTAAGCAAGTATATTGGGATTTTTGCTGCTCCTTCTGGCGACAGGTCTGTGTACGACCCCAAAAGAGGCAAGCCCTGCTTGACTCAAGCTTCTTCTAATGCGAGGGTTGGCCCTGATACGGAGAAAATTTGTAAGCGAAAAAGAGGACAAGGAAAGATTGGAAGACACCTTAGAACTACTCATGCCAGAAAAGACTTAGTTCATACCTGAAAAGATCTGCGTATGTATATTTCTTAGACAATGTTTTCGCATTTGATACTGACAGCGCCGGCTCTGAGAATCCTAATATTTCCCACCATTGCCAATCTAAACTATGCATATTCATAAAAAGCAGCTTTTTACATGAAAAAGGATAGGAATTTCAAAAACCTCTCATAGAGTGTCCTGCTTCAGAACGATATGACGCCACACAAATAGCCATGGAACGAGCTTCTGCAGTGCGATGTACGCTAGCTAACCAACGACAACTTTCCACAACCCAGATCTGCTGAAGCGACAACATGAAACTCTGTCTTTAAAGTTGCTCTCTTTTCGTTAACTAATCAAACGTGCTCAAGAATGATACAAAATAAGGCCGTTTCTCTTTTATTACACAAACTCATCAAAAATTGACTTACAAAAGCGAGAAATGCCACGAAAGCCATTACTGATGTAAAGAGATGGAAAAGAAACCAGTGCTGAGTGAAACGAGCAAGCAGAGCAACGAAAACCTGAAAAATTCTCAAAACTATTTGAATTGGAGTAGTAAAGATTGATCCGTACTATGGGTAATAGGTTGTGGATACATAGACAGCCGCGATTTTCTAGTCCCCTTAATACATCTCCACAATCTCCCCCTTCGAATTACCCCACGTAATGTACATCAACAAATAAAGAGAATAACCGAATTTCTACTGGAGCCGACTGATACAAAACAACCCACCATTACCCGTCAGCACTTTCAAATAGCACCTCCTTGAGAACTCTCAGGCACACGCTTGACTCTGGTTGTGGAATCGATCGATGGACATGGCAATTTTTACCCTTCCATTGAAGGAATCGGAACTGGCAAAGTTTGATAACTTTGAAGGCTATCAGACGGCCAAAAACTGATCCATGAGATCAGTGAAAGGGCGAAAGTTTCAACTGATCAACTATAAAGTGGAGCGGCAGACACCTTATTTCCATATGTCCACATCGGATGAATCGAGCATACAGTAGTAGTGAGGGCCATCCAACAAGCCCATTTTTTGGCCTTCATGACTTGTTCGGTGTCTAGCAGCCAATGCTGGAGGCAGGGTCAATCGTCTGCTAACAAAGTTCAACGAAGGAGCGTAGGCGGCTTATAAAGGAAGTCGTAATTTGGTTTTTGTGTGTAGGTGGTGTTGCAGTTCAGCTCCTACATGAGATTTTCGGAGGGAATCATAGTATGGGAAGTTGGGGGGACACGCTGCAGAAGAAGGCAGAAGGGGTATTTTCGGCGGGTTTTCGGCGAGTCTAATGGAAATTACATACTTCAGGAAGTGTAAACTGAAAAGGTTATAGCACATATGAAACAGCCGTGGTGGTGAGGGCAATGTTGGTAGGGTTTCGTATGGGAGGAGGACCGTCCCAAGTCGGACAGTAGTGGTGGGACGACGTGAGGAGGCCCCTACAGTGGACGGTTAGATCTGGCTTAGGCCTGCCTGAAGGGATGGTGCGCCTTTTTAGCCCCATCCAGGTTCGATCTAGGATACACGCAAATGTGAAGTGATTTCATTCAAAGAAATTACCATCGAAAAACTCCAGCCGTTCAGTGACACTCCTAGAAGGCGCGAGTTCGGATGATCGAGACTCTCAACAAGTAGAACGAGATTGGTAACCTGAACAGCTGTAGATTAGAAAACCCCAGAAACTCTGAAAGGAAGTCTGTAATGTAAGGCAAAGAAACAGAAGAAGACCAAAGAACTGAGGAAATGTAGAAAGCGCAAAATCGGGCGACGCGACTGGCTAGAGAAAAAACGCGGTTCGATTTCAGCGCTAGTCAATGATTCCGGGTTGCGCCATGCAACCGAATTCACTGTCAATTTATCCAGACACTATACTGAGTCTAATGGATATTTTGAAATCATAGGCAGGTGCAATCGTTTTTGAAGTCTGCAGTTTGTCAATTCTGAAGTAAAAACCTGCTTTCCACATCTTGCCATGGTGTTTCTAAAAATTATTTACTTGCCATATATCCACCACATCCTGCGCCAAGTGTAAACATGAATGCAGCTGACAGAACCCATGATACGGTAGCGACGAATGAAAACACGCCATTCACAATGCAAACAAGTAACAAGCAGCCTATAAGCAATCGAAATCTTCGTCTGCAGGTTTTGCTACTATTATTAGTTTAATTATGCCTTATTTAAAATTCATTCAATCCGAATTTTTATCTGTTATATTTGTTTGCAGCTGCTTATCGCTGCTATTCACGACGTGAAGGTTGCAACACCGATGCTGAGTCCTTTGCAGGACGCTCAGTCTCAAACGGTGCTCATCCCCACCCCCCCCCCAAACTTCCGCTTCCCGTACTGTGCCTATGCATTTCTATTGGACTCAGTACGCCTTCCACATGCTTGAGGTCAATGGAATTTACACGTATAATGTTAGGAAGGAATAAGTGAGAGCTCGAGCCTTGTTCAGGGCCAAACCTTTTCTCATTTCAGTACCCTTATATACCCCAAATGTGAATGATGCTTTAGTTTCAATCTAACTCGATTTTCCGTCAACAGGAGAAGACTTTCGTTTACCTTTAAGAACCGGTAGTCTTCCATACGTATCCGCAAGCCATCCGGCTGTAAAAGATCCCGTCAATGCTCCAGCCATCAAACTTGTGGACATGAATGCTGTCAACGCTGACTGCTGACATGCCTCGCCCCAGTCCAATAATAGAGAATTGAAGTCAATGTCAATCATCTAAAAAAATCAGCAGAATAATAGTATTTGAAAACAAAACGAGATCTTCCTATCCATTTTTCTACAGGGGTGGCCAAAAAAAAGACACTCACTCCACATCAGACACCATTAATCACACTTCGCTAAAATCAATCGACTGCCACATTCTAATCTATCTAAAATTTACATGACAGCCTTCTACACCGACGACATCAGAAGATTTTCCCACGGAAACATGGTTCACGGTACGAGCTCAACGAGGTCGTCGAGGTACCATAGACCATTACGACGTCCCTGAAACGCTGGTCAAAAGCGGTTTTGCATAGTCACAGCTAATGTCTCTGGGAAGCTATTCACAGTTAATCCATTGAAGAAATTATGTAGCAGCTTCAGGCCGGAGCGATTACGGTAAGCCTCGTTGAGCTCGACGGTGACGGCAGATGACGTCATATTCTGAAGACGGCGGGCAGTGAAGGAGGGCCTGCTTCTGTTTACGGGGGAACACCTAAGGAATATTCCGCCGTAAAACTTTCATTAACATCGGCTCCCTGTGCGACGAAAAGTTCGATGATGTGCGCCATGGGCTAAGTGTCTCTTTTTTGGCCACCCCTGTACGGTCTACTCATACTTAGTCAGAGGTAATGTCACCGACCATGTTTGTTGCCCTGAAATTTCAGCAAAACAGAATGTGACCTGACAGAAACATCAAATAGTTGAAAGGAAGAACTGCATAATACTCGACAAAGTAAGGCCAAGGAAAATATTGCGCAAGCAGCCACAAAAAAATAGACCATTAATCTCAAAAAACAATAAATCCTACCGAGAAATCCCACCCCCATCACTTTGCTCAAAAAGAATGTCAAAAAATAATGCGATAGTAAGCCTATTGAAATCGATCTTCTCATTTGAATAAAAGCATAAAACAACATCGTACAGTAGCCAGAACCGCTATTCACTTATTCACTGCGCACTGATTCCATTTGCCGAATTCCAACAATAAATAAAGTTCCCAAAGGTATAGCTGCCTACATTAACCAGACATCAGCTGCTGTGACGAGCAGAAAAAGACATTAGACGACGAGATTCAAACAGATTGGCCTTGGTCTACTTTTCGGAACGCGCCATGCATTTGGCTTCCATAGAGAATTGTACAGGTATCTGGCCAAACATTCGGCGCGGCCAGCAATACTTATCAAAGGCCCCACTTCAAGTTGCGTTCACAGTCAGCGATTCCTTGTGAACAATAGCGATCGGTGCTGGCATCGCAGTTGCATCGCCGACTGTGAACGCGATCCGCGCAATCCTCGAAAGCAATGTCACGCCTGTCGATCACTACGCTACCACAACCCATTAAAATACTTGCTACATCACATTTCTGAAAAATTGCTGGTATTCTCCGAAAAAAAAAGAAGGGGGACAGTGTCTTTGCCCAACCACAGACTTCCAATTCACATGAAAATTCCCCCGACAAATTTCGAAAACAATTGTAAGACAATGATGCAAAAATAAATATGGCACTATTTTCTCCAAAATAATAAGCACTTTTCGGAGGCGCAAGCTTTTCAAACAAATACCGACCTCTGACAAAACCTCCGAATCCATTGCAGTATCACCCGTACCATTAAGAAATGCACATGTATGCTGGAAAAAAGCTCCATAACCAAAACTGCCAGGTGTCGCCTTCTATGAACAACGCGAAATGAAGCTCTGACCTCAGTGGGCTCGTAGAATGCCGTAGATAACATTGTATTCGTTATAGGAATGTAGCTCAGCTGTGATATTGCCAAGAACTATCAACTCGTATCTTCTGAAAATTTCTGTAGAGTAAATCCAAACACTTCATGAAATGACTCTTCATTGCGATCTCGGTTTTCGAGATTTCTATTACACGCTCTAAAGCTGTTTTCATATTTCGCATCGCCCGCGACACATGGTCATGCAACTCGGCTTATAGGATAGAGAGGGGGCTCAAAGACGTTCGTATGAGCGTAACGACCACTCAGCATTAGATACGTATCGATCTACCTCCCGACACGTCCGGCGATCGATGCGTATCTAATGCTGTGCGATCGTTACGATCGAACAACCGACTTTTAAAGCAGCCAGAAGGGCGCCCACTATCAATCGCCTGCCAGTCGAGATAAGCTCAATTTCTATGCACCCTCACTGTGGACTGAGCCCTGTCGTATGGGCATGAGTGCCGTTACCGCACCACTGCCGAAATTTTTTTACAGCGCTTGCTGCGCTATTGCTCTATCTAAGGTGTTGCGAAGTATGAAGGCAGTCCAAAGTGGGAGTCAAATGCATGGCGCATCACAAAGATGCTGACCAGCGACTGAAAACGCACAGCATTTATGCCTTCCTCCTGAGAACAATCGTTTCACCATTTCAATTTGGGCAGCCATTTCTGCGATTTACCACCATAGAAAAACCATGTACGTATAAATACAGCCTAATGGTAAGCTTGAACGCAACCGCCCTCCCTCTTAGCTCAACGTGAACATTCAAGGAAAATTTCATCATGAACGCAAATGTCCATGACATATGCTTTCAGTTTTGAAATAATTACCGAAACAAAAAGCCTTTTGTTCCCCTCATGGGGCAACCCAACTGTACAAATATTCCATCAAATTTAGCTATGTGCTTTATTTACAGCTGATCCAGCCACATTGTCAGTTCAGTGCATAAATCGCACACATGCACTTGCTGTCTTTTGCAAAATCGATCCTCTAAAAACAGGTTTGCGAAAGTCACTGGAAATCAAAAATCTCTCGTAATGTGGAGGTGTTAGCGCAAAGGAACAACGACTCGGAGAAGGCTTCTCCAAATTTCCGCCCCAGCGACTTTCTTCCTTCTCCGACTACCGATATGAAAGCACAGAAATCGGTCGGCAGAAGTTAGTAGAAACAAACCAGAATCTACGAGATTTTCTTCTACGATTTGCTAGAATATTGTAGACATAATGGACTCTCACAATGTTAGAACCATAAACATTTTACGATGCTGTCCATTGTTCGATCGTCATAAATTTTGCACAGCGAGACTTCAGTGAGGCTTCTTGGGCCGCGACCAAGATATTTTCAACCTTTATTCGGATAACGCTTAATTATTTGACTTTTCAGGCTCTGACGAAGGCGAAAAAGGCCGAAACGTTAGCAGAATAAGCAACAAGCAGAAAAGTTGAGAAAATCGGAGTTGCGGCGTCTAACAAACCTTAGTGGAAATATTCTTACGATTTGAGGTTTCAATCTCCCAATATTTATTAATTCATATATATTAGGGCGGAAGTGGTGCAGTGGCAAGCAAGTGGCACGCTTACCACGCGAGCGGTCCGGGGATCAAATCCTGGGTCGTGAGTCGCCCGGGCCAACCAAGCCTTCCATCCCTCCGGGGTCGGTTAATTGGTACCAGACTTGTCTGGGAGGATAAAAACACTGACTTGTACATCGGCTGGCCCCCGCAAGTCATTGTATAGGCCACATCGCATTCAAACGCCACTACGAATGTACAAATGGAAGTAGAATGCGTGCCGCATCCCAAAAAGGGATTGATCAACGGCAAATGCTTTATCCTTTATCCTTTTATATGCTCGACTTTTGAACAACATTCTCGTTTTTTGGGAACTTTAAAGGTAGTGAAGACGATGGCTCGAGAGTGGAGCGATTTCGATGACGTCTTTGAACGTCATTTGAGAACCAGGCTTCTCAACGCGTCGAGTTTTGACTAGAAGCAGCTCACAACGCCTCCCCCTCAAAATTACGGTCCTTGACGTCACTAAAATCACCATCCCCTTCGGAAATCGTGTCAGTGTCTTGAAGATAGCGTTTCCAAGGACACCCTGAGCTACGAATTTGCGCAGCCCTATCCTTTACGGCAAAAAACAAGCTGTAAAGAAAGGCTTATTTACCTAAAACTATAGGTTAAAAGGCTGAGAAAAACAAGACAGTACAGCTCATGGATTGTAAATTAATTTTATTTGAAATCATGCAACCTCATTCGGAGTGGACTCAAAAAATGAAAGCTGGGTTTGGATACGGATAGAAGGATAGACAGACGGCTGTAGGGTCGCATCAAAAACGCCGCGAGGCGGCTAAGCTACGAATGGCTTTTAAAGGATGGAGCATTGAAACAATTGCAATATAGTAGATCTTTCTCAGGGAATAAAGAACGCAAAAGGTTGTACTCACCCAAAATCACTAGCTATACTGTTCCTTATTCGACGTACAGAGCTGCGACTCCGTGCCGGTGATCGAAGTGGTGAATTGCTATCGCTACCGTCGATTACTACAGAGCATGTCATCCTAAGTGTTCTGTAATTTCGAAATTCAATTTGAAAAAATTAATTGAGCGCTACTTGCCCAAAAAATGATGTCTCAAAGAGCCTCAGAGACGACCTTAATGTCCCGCACCCCTTTGACAACATTTTTTGCAATCGGATTCACAGCTGCATTAATTACCACTATATCACAAGCAAGGCCCTAGTGGTAAAGCCTCTATGTGATAATATAAAATATGTAACAAATGTAAAAAAATTACCATCACTACTACAGTCTTTGTATGTGTATCGTACTAATAGAGAAAAGACGCGAGGTAGAAAGTTGAAGTTCTTGATAGTAAACCTTATCTTCGTCCATTTCTCGTACTTATATTACAGGATTGCTTAACACTTTGGAGCCCATGCATCATATGTGGGCTGACCAGGGTCAACCCTACGTTGTTACGAGTAACAACGGGGGGTCGTACTCAGTTGAGCTTGGAGGGGGGGTCGTACCCTCTCGGTGGCCGACAGTGGGATTCTTGGTAATATCGGATAATAGCCAGCACGTTACGTTTTCGTAAGATGACTGATACTAGAGCATCTATAAACCACGCTTCCCTCTAAATGAGCTTTCAAATGAATCAGCGAATTAGAAGGGCGCCCGAGGCGTGGCGCGCACCAAGGCAAGGGATGTAGTGCAAGCGCATGCTCGGAGCTTTCTAGCACATCCTAAATTAAACTATTTTGACACACAATTGAGTCTTCTGAGCTTGAGGCGGGCATAGTGAAACCTAAGAAAACCCGCGTTTTCGGGAAAATGGCTTGAAGAATACCCCTCAAAAAAGTAACAACGGGACTAATTTTTGAACTGCTACTTTTTCAGGAACGCTTGGGTGCTCGTTAGAAAGCTTGAATCCTGTAGTTTATTATACGTGTTCAGCTTCCCAAATGAATGACTTTGAAGGAAGTTATGATCGTTTGAAGGTCAAAAAGTCGCTTTGCACAGAAAAAAGTAACAACGTACTAAATTTTTATTAAATTAACTTTCGAAGAATTTTTACCCATGGTTGGAGAGAGAATAATTTGAATTTTCCAAATCAAATCACTTCGGCGCAGAAGCTCGAATATGAAGGAAGTTATAGCCTTAGAAAGAGGGGTGTAAAAATTGTGTTGCAATTGAAGAACGTGAAGGATTTCAGTATTTCAATTGGAGCGATAATTTTTTCTGACTTCTCATAAGTTTTTATCAGGTAATATTGTCAATATTCCGGTCACTGGTTCAGTTTATTTCATCTCCTAGTTTGGTAACCCTTTGGAGTACACGGATATCTTTGAATGCATCTCATTTTTTCGTGTTTGGAAGCAGCGATGAATATCTGTCGTGGATTTTGCTAAAGTTTCATCTTTGATGACTTACGTAGAAATAAATATTGATGGTAAACACTGTCTCTACACAAGTGTCACATACAAGGGGGGGGGGGTCGTAAAAAATTTCCAAAGAGTAACAACGATAGGGTTGACCCTGGCTGAGTCCCTCGACCACCTAGAACCTTACAACCCACAATTTGGGAACAAATGTTAGGTTTCTCTTTTGTTTTCCTTTCCATTTCATTCGATAAGGTTTCTTCTGCATCATACAGTAGGTTTTTCTTTCCAATTTGCTTGATAAGATTCCTAAAAATTTCACTGAAGTCCCGCGCGGCCGCAAAACGTAAAACATGCGCGGTCTCCAACGTGTTAAACTCGAATTTCTGTCAAACCTATGGAAGAAGCTTTTCTGAAACAAAATCATAAAAAAATGAGGAATACTTCTAAGTAAAAGTAGAATAAAAACGGTGTAAGCCTGGACAAAACGAGGGAGAGAAAGTCGGAGTGAGACCTACGACGTGCCCATCACATTATGAGGTTAATGGTCATTCCAGTGAGAATAAAGGATCGTAAATTTCGTCAGGATGGAGTCAATGTAGCGCGGAAGAGCGGGTGTGAATGCGAAAAAGGAGCGAAGGTAGTTACGCGTACTCCTTGTCCCTTCACACCTATCAAGAAAACCTCAAGGGAACCATGCAGAAAAAGGAATCAGGCCGATGGAGAAAGGAGGGGCTTACAAGAGGAGAAACTGATCCACCCCATCACCGACCCGCTAGAACACCAACACTCCTAGCAAGCAATTTTCTTTGAAAACGAAATTGGATTTCATTTTTCAATGGGGAAAATCGGTTGAAAATAGCTCACCATTACCTTCCCCTCAATTTCATAATGGCAACAATGTAGAAAAAGCCAAGGTAAATTCTATTAACAAGTTCATTGAACTATGAAATATAACCACGTCCATCTACATCGATGAAAGAGAAAATGTTGCCGTTCTCACATTACAGCAAGTCTACGGGCAAAAAGCCACTACACGGAACCGACTGGTGACATGTCCACTACCCGAGGACACTCGATACAAGAATGATATGGAAATATCCCGAATGATTCACACAGACATCAAAGACTGGTGAGCCCAAAGTAAACACAATCGGCCACAGCCACAATCGAATTCGGTGCGAGCCCCATTCCTGCAATCTGCCAAGAGCAGGGTCAAAGGGCCGTGGGGTGAGCCAGGGAGCGAGATCGTCATTTTTGTTAAATTTCAGAGAAAAGTCGTTCGCGAAACAGTCGTCGGCCTGTAGGTGCACACACACGAGTATCGCTTCTATTTTCTGAAAAGCGCTAACTTGTGTCGATTTACCAAGGCGCGCGCGAATGAAGAGAAGTCCATCTACTTTTATAGAAGCGCTAACTTTGTGTGTCGGTTTGTATGTCTGTATGTGTGTGTATGTATGTATGTGTGTCCGTCCGCAAAATGAAGTGAGTGAGAAGGAAGCTCATGGGATAAACAAACCGCTAACAGAATCATGTAGCTCACAGGACTTTAGCTATTAGTGTTTTGCAATGGCATGATTGTGATAGCATCCCCCAACGGCTATATAAACACGCACTTAGCACACTTTCGGTCATTCGACAAGGTGATGCTGTGGTAGCCGGCGAGCAGAGGGGAACGAGGGGAGAGTAAGGAGAGGAGGGAGAAGGGAAAGCTTACGCAAGGTAGGGAGGTTCCGGCGCTTGCCGGGGGACCAATCTGGTATAACAGGAGAATGTGAGAGTATGAAATATTTTGTTCCGACAATTATGTATACCTCTTCCCTTACAGACCTCCCACTATAAAGCTTCTGGAATATGCTGGAGAAGCGAGATTTGGATAGAGAATTGGAAATGTGCAAATTAAACCAGGTTCGGTAGCAACGAGGCTATCGCCAATAAAACTGGATACCCGAAACGTGTGGGCGGGGGAGGGGGCTATTGGTGATTGTGTATCTGCATGTATATGAAACCACTCGCTCGGGCAAAACTGATCAGGAACGAAAAATGAAAATAAGGATAAGATTCACAGGTGCGATTATAACTGCCGCCTTTCAGCAGACAACGAATAAAACAACGTCACTGATTAGCACAGCAACGAATGCGTTACCATGCCGATAAAAAGTGACACTCGTGCGAAAAATCAGCGTGTTCTCTAGACTCGACTGCAGACTGAAACCACAAGAGCGAAAATAGCGAGCTGCAGCTTGGATAATTACTTCGAAAGCAGTAAAAAAATCTATTCGCCATCGAATTTTCGAAAAAAAAAACAAGAAAATAGAACTACTCACGACAGAAATGTATCGTATCAGATATCTGATGTGTGCACGAAATTGTTAAGATATTATTTTCAATGCTATTTGGAACACACCTAAGTTTAGTTACGTAATTTGCAGTTCAAGACAAAAAAAAACAATAATCGAGGGGATAGAAACACATTTTGAAAATGGAATATAAAAGGACCTGAAGTAAGGAGTTGAGGAGAGACCAGATGGGGAAATACATCAACCTACTCGATTTGAAAAAAAAACGCGGTGCGAAAAATGAAGAAGAAAGGTAACATAAAGCGAACACGTTCCTCACCGATAAAGACAACAAGTTTGGAGTATAAGAAGGATGAGAATTACACGGAAAAAAGCTTCTTGATCAGTGCTGGAGAATGTCGGTAAAACAGGCAATTCAACTGCAAAAAGAGTGCTTCTTCGGAAGATACCACAAGCAAATACAAATTCTAGAACCGCAAAAAACCACTGGAGTAGCTTTCATTAGTCTCCCACCCACTCATATGGGCTCAAACTACCAGCTATGTTTCTTTAGGAAGAGATTGCGATGGCTGATAGGATAGGAGTCAGTTTGAAGGCGTCATATGTCTAGAGCGTTGAGAGACGGATTTAGCGCACCCTTCAGCGCACGAGGTGTGCTTAGTCTGAATCCAACACTCACCAATGGGGCTACAAACAACTCCGTGTCCAAATGCAGCTGCTACTTCTCAGCTTCAGCAGTGTCACAAAAATAAATCAGAAGATTTCAGTAGCCTAAGGCTGCCTAAGCAAGCTTAAACGGATTGTGGCCATGAAACATCTCGCGCCTACTCCAAGCTCCAAAATACTCGTAGAATCTGCGTGAATCCCCAAAACGTCAATTCTGAGTACAGAAGGCAAAACAAAACGATCGCTATGTAGTTTAGTTGAGAGTGATCTTGGTCAGTCACACGATAGAAATTTAACGATAGCTGAAGCCATTAGCATGAATGCGACCAAATATCACAGAAATGCGTGAGAACTATGTTTACTCAATGAACTAGAGTCATAAAAAATACTCAGCAATAGCGATTGACTTAATGAAAAGGCATCGATAAAAAAGTTAATGTGAGAAGAACCTATACTTACCTTCACTAAAAGACCTAGAATGGGCCAAAGGCGAGACATGTCAGCATCAGGTGCCGGGATGTGGTTGACAAGAAGCGTTTCCGACGTGGCATGCCGCTCCTCGTCTGGAAATATGAATTATCCGCTTGAGCGACTTACAAGCATAGTGACACTGGACAAGCTACTCCAAAGATACACGAAGTGTAGGTTTAAGGGATCGGAGGTTATGACTGAAAAAGCTTTTCACATTTGCTTGAGGTGGAATAGCGTCCCTTGATTCCATTTCGCAGTGTCTATAAGAACGGTCTAGACTTTAACGTGCCAGGAAAGTGGCTAAGAGGACGCTCGACGTAACGATAGCTCGATACGTTGCATGAAGACATGAAATTAATTCGC